GAGATGGGAGGGGGGTTACTGGGAGCAGTGCTGGTTGTTATACAGTCTGACAGCAAGCAGGAAAGGACCTACGAAACTCTCTCCTTCACACAAAATGTTTCTGTAATTTTGATAAACTGGCCCTTTAAACCATCAGTGTTGAATGTTTAATATTGGTGTTTTTTCTAATGACCGCCTACTGCTGATTTAAAAAAAGCTCTTATTCTGTTTGGGACATACCACAAGAAACTTAGGTCTCATTGGTTAATCTGTAGGTGATGCCACAGATGCTGCCACCCATTTTTTTTAGCTGTCTGTGAGAACAGTGCCCGGTATGACTTCTCTGAAATGCTGTATTGCAAATCATAACCTAGGCTACAAGAGTTCAGGTCTCCACGTCCTGCATACATGTTTATTTGACAGAGGAGTTCCCCACAGGCACAGTTCCTAGAGGCACGTACCTTGTGCACCTACAGCAACTGCAATGAAAAATTCATAAGGGCATACAAGACAATGCCACCTCAGATGGCTTTATGTACAAACCTTTACAATTCACAGACACACACACGCACCTTTCTTTAGTTTATGGTTATATATAGTATAATAGTATAGTAATATATAGTTTATACTTTAGATGCAGGAGGGTTTTTCAGCATTAACACACAAAAGTTTTGTGAGGAAACACTGATTTGGCCTCAAAATATCATTATTCCCAGCCCTATCACTTCTATTCAGCAACTCTGTCAACAAAAACACTGTAGTTGTATACCTCCTCTGATGTCCCCCCTGTTGGAAAAAATAAAAAACCTTTTTCCTTACAGTATATTAGTGTGATGTACAGTATAGTGTGAAGTTTAAGAAGAATTGCATGTTGAAGGAGACAATCTATTGTATCATTAATGATGTTAGCTAACACACAGGTTATTTTTCACTATTTCTTTTTTTTTTTTTTTTTCAATTATTTTTTGGGCTTTTATTGCCTTTATGATAGTGACAGCTGAAGGTAGAAAGGAAAGGGGAGTAGGAGAGAGGTGATGACACGCAGCAAAGGGACACAGGTTGGATTTGAACCCCTGGGCCGCTGCATCAAGGTACATCAGTACATGGGTCGCTAGCTCTACCCACTGAGCTAACCGTGTGTAAAATAATATCTTTTTTTTTTTTTTCTTTTTTTTTTTTTCAACAAATCAACAGTTAAAGACTGAAGTGTGCTCTTATTTTATAGAACCAGTTGTTCCCTTCCAGTAAATTATCTCTGACTTTTGACATCCAGGCTGCAGTTGCAAAAGGTATCTTCTCTAGTGGCCACTTTTTGGGAGGAATTGTCATTTCATGCATGTTCTCCACATAAATACAATGTTGCAAAAATGATATGGAAATATATTGATGACAAGTATATTGCCTGGCGTTCTCAACGACATCAATATTCTTCCATAAAATTACAGAATAGTGCTGCCAGTTTCTCACTCACCTGACAGTAGAGAATGTATGTCGCTGTTAAAACGGCAACAAGGAATTTTACTGTTTCCACTGCCTCATTTAATTGATTTCAAGAGGGAATCCAACCTGGTGGTGGACATTAAGAATAACTATATAGAAATAGCCAGTCTTCTCGCTTATGTGGGTTATAGAGAGGCATCGGTATTAAATTGAGAATGTTTCATAACCAGTTAAACACTCCTTGTTTTTGAGTTTAAGTTTTCATATCCAGAGGTTTAAACTGGTGTCTGTCACTGCACATGCCCTTTGACTTCAAATCTAGAGATGTCATTCTGTGCATAAGCCTTGCAGGTCATCATCAAGACATATAGTGACATAGCCGATATTTCAGCTAACTTGTCTGTCTCGGGCTGACTAATCATATGCTCCCCTAGCAGGTTGAAGGCAAGGACATCAGCCATCCGCCAATTTTTTTTCCTGTCTGCCAGAGCCACCTGGCTCTTCCAGTACTGCTTTGATAAGGGGGAATTATTAATGTTTTTGTATGAAGAAGGTTCACCAGAATTAAAGAGAGCTGTTTTTCATGACTTTCTACCTTTTTTATCATTTGACTAATTAGTTATTTTTACATAATTGCCTCTTGTACAGCAAATATTTTTACTTTTGACACATGAAAGGATAGTGTTCTTCTTGTTTCAATTGAGTGAATCTTTTACACTTTTCTGGTTCTGTTTACTACTCGGTTTTGTTCTCCTGCTCTTACAGATTGTGCCACAGTGCAGTTACATGCAAATAACATTAATGTCTTTCCTTATTTAATATTGATGAGAAGCCCTCCTAGTTTTTCCACAGCGTCCTCCTTCTCCGCCTCCTCATTTTGCCTTCATCTGCTTATGTAGATCATTTCTTGTATTTAGTACAACTCAACAAAGTGTTCGACTTCATGTTTTTGATTGTATGTTATTGAATCAAGATGGGGAAAAAGAAAGTTATTCTGAGTGGAGCTGAGCAACAGATCTATATCCAGCCCAAATGTTTTCTGCCATCCCTCAGACTGAAAGAGTACAATGGGCTGCTTCAGAGAGCTGACAGAAATATGCTCATGTTCTTTGGAATATGTAATGGTTTGGTGACACTGAGGGAGACTGAGACTCAAGCAAAGCATTATTGAATGTCGAATTTGTTTGGCTTTTGTTCATTTTTTTTCAAATGCTTTGAATGGTTCAAAGGTTTTGCACTACTTTTTGTGTCCGACTCTCTTTCTCTCTCAAATTGGATCATTTGTATCCTCTCTTCTCCTCCATATTTTCTGTAATTTTCCAGGAGCCTGGTGCCAGTCACTCAGTTGTATGTTAGTGTGGATGCCAGCACCAAAGACAGTCTGAAGAAGATTGACCGGCCACTTTTCAAAGACTTCTGGCCACGCTTCCTGGACAGCCTTAGGGCCCTGGGAGAGAAGGTAAGCTTCCCACTGGGCTTGTTTGGTTTCCAGCCAGGTGGTGAGAGAAGTAAGCCTGTGAACAGGAAATTGAACTGTGTTACTGTGAAGTAAGACATTGCTCAAAAAGAATATGCCTGCTCAGTTAAAGTTGCTTGTATAAAGAAGGTAAAACCATTTCTGTACAGTCACAAAAAGCTGTACAACTATGCACAGTTCATGTCATTGAAGGTACAGTATGATGTGGGTATATTTACTTTGTGACTATACAGATGTTCCTCCACAAGTTAAATTGCTCATTTGATTTTAGGTTTACGGTTGGCTTCACAATCATAATGATAAATAATGTTTTATCAGCAGATTTTTATAACACAGGAATTAGCTTTGTGCAGCACCTTTGGATTGAAATGTGTTTGGTGAACCTATGCCTGAATTCTGAGGCACAATCAGGCCCCCAATTCACATGAAAAATGTAAACATGCAGCATTTGTTGCACTCTGTTCTTGTGACGACTAGCTGGGCAGTAACAATTTGATAAATGTGCAAAAATCTATCTATTTATAAAATCTAACTATTCATTATTAATATTTAAGAGCTGAGAGTGAATAAAGGTTATGTCACCTCTACATTTTGTACTGTAATGGGAACTCTGGGATTGTTTTAGTGCCTGTGAAGCATTGTGTTCTCCATGGTTAAGATAGCTTATTACCTAAAACTTGATTCGGCTATTTCACTACCTTGCCTCTAATAGTGATACACATTTTTGCGTCTAATTAAGTGTAAAACTAATTGTCCACTGGACATTTTAACCCGCCTCATTACTCATTAATTTGCAAGTTATCTTCAGAATCGGCATATCTATAAAAGAAAAAAAAGTAATAGTATATGGATTCAAAAGTTTCAAAACAAAAACACAGAAAAATGCTCCAGTAAATCTGTCTAATCACATAATTTCTGTCAGTGAAGTTTAAAAGAGATTTAAAATAGTCTTTTGTGTTAAATAAATGAATGTGAACGACTCTGCAGACAGAAAAGGTTCTGACAGCACATCTGTTTCATTGACTCTGGAGCCACATGGTATCCTGGGGGTTTTCCTGCCAATCCTCACCATTTCTGTGTCATTCTTTACTTTAAAAAGAGAAGAATGCATAAGCTTCCAAGTTTTGACCCCTCAACCTCAACCATAACCCCTGAGAAAACAGGGTTGGTGACAATGTTTTGTGATTAAACTTTTGAATAGAAAAGAAACTTTGTTTATAGTAGAATCCACTTATAAACTGTTCTGTCTCACCCTGCCCGGAAAATATATTAAAGTTCCACCACAGAGCTGAAGAGCTTGACAACATAAGTCAATTTCTTGGGAAAATGTGAATAAAAATATGCTGTTGTGGTGATTTTTAACAAAAGTAATCTCCTATCTGTCAGGCTGTTGGAAGTGGCAGATTCTTACCTCCTGTGCAGACTCTTTTTTTTTTTTTGTTTTTGTTTTTTTTGTTTTGCAAATGAAAACTATAGCCAGATTAAATCCTCTCAGAAGCCACAGATTGTGATGTCTATCAAATTACTATGCAATGGCAACGAGATGCCATAAATAATTTTCAAGGAACTAAAAGTTTCCTTCAGTTCGTTGTTGTCTGCGTTTGCACTACGGTCTAAAGACCTGCGAAGATTAGACAAATTAGTCAGCTAAAGCATTTTACGTGTGATTGGACCTGTACTCGTCAGTCCTTCTGACGTATGCTTCCTGCTGTATTTCACATTGATGTGTTGAAGCACAATAAAGAAAAACAAACTGATTTCTCACTGTAAATATTTAAAAATGGTGACTAAAATAAAGTGCTGTGAGTACTCAACCAGTCATTAATGTTCAGCACTGCAAGCCACCCCCAAAGTTTCTAGTACCCCCCGAGCAAGGACTTCTTTGTTGTAAAACAATGTCCCTGGGACTTAATTTAGACCTTGGTCCCTGCGGTGGGAACGTACCGGGTTCCTCCAATGGTTTCTAGTCCCTGGGGAAAGCTCCTTCAATGGAAACTCTGCCCTAGAAACACTTTTAACGCTTTCCTCAAGTGGGGAGGCATGGCTTTTTATTGATTCTTGAAACTTTGAACAATTTGGCTTCATCACAGTGTGTCCAGATATCCCTATAGCAGTTCAAAAAAGTGCATTCAATAACCTTGCAGGCTGTTTTAACATTTGTGAGCAGAGAGAGATTTGCAGAGTCCATTATCACAGTCTGCATTCAGCCACCAGACCCCTTGTGTAAATCGACTCTCCCTCTGTGTTTCCTAAAAAGCCAGAGTGAGGAAAGAAATGGCGCCGGCAAAACGACCTTGAGAAAGATGTGGGCTGTGAAGGCTCTCAGAGGGAGCCTCTATTACACCTATCTGTAATGGGCCAACTTCCTCTTATTTAATGCTTTAGCAAACAATGGACAAATTCATTACTACTCGGTTTAGGGTGTTGGTGACTGCACGTCTCCAGGCAAATCACTAGCGATGGATCATTGCTCTCTGATTGCATCTACAGCCCCATTTCACCATATGCCAACAGCAAATATCAATGTGAGGTAACTGTAGGGGTGGGTGAAAAACAGGAATGTCTAAGTATTAAATTAATTAATTGCCATGCAATAAATACTACCATTGTCAGTAACACTGTTAAATTTCTGTCAGCGCTGTGTCAAGTCTGTGGTAGGTCCCTGAACTGTTTTAATATGTCGTCATACAGCCTCATGAGTCTAGACTACTTAATTACATAATTACTGTATGTAATATGCAGTGACATTTTTAAACACTTAATGCATGAGGAACAATCACCTGTTTGGTATTCTCTTAACTTCAAGTTCTCTATCTGACCATTTATGAAAAACCTACTTTCACTGGTGGACAATTCAGGATGCTGATAATTATGGGTTTGTTATTATCACTTGTTTCCTACTTTCTAAGTGACTAAAGATTAATCCAGTTTAGTGCAGGTGGGTGACAGCAAAGTCATGCTGGGCCAGAGACTGACTCATTCACTGGCACATTCACTGCATACTCCCTCGAATCTCATTATTTTGAATAGTGTAAGAGGAGCTATCAATCTAAAGAATTACTTTTGAATT